ATACCCATTTGACTAAAGACGCTGTGCTACAAAGCTTACACTTTTCACCCTCCCTTATCGAGAACGATCGTCTGGGTATAGTAAGAGTTTAACGGCACTTGCAACATAATAAGGTAGAAAAAAAAAGTGCCAAAGATAAGAGGTGTAACAAGAGAGTAACAAACACAAAATAGAAGCAGGGGAGATAAGGATGCTAGATGTTTGATAGGACCAAACTGCAAACCACACAACGAGAGCACCCGCCAACCACCCATGATCGTGCAGTCGACAAGATGGCAGTCTTCCATTATTAAGCCCATTTTTAGATGTCCTTCGCCATTGAGACATGTGCTGTTCTTGACCAAGACGGAGAGAATAAATTAAATCAATGCAGAAGGAAGATTTAAGCGGGAGGAAAAAGGAGACGGAGCAGTAACATCAAAGTAAATAATATATCTAGGCCAGTATGTTTACCGTCTGTAAATATATGGTTCGTGAACAGGTGCGCTATAGATCAAAAGAAAGGTTGCATATCCTTCTGATTAGTGCTTCTATTAATTATTACACCCCTAAAAAAAAAACCGCCCTACCAAACACACATACACACACGCGCACACACGCGCACACACACACACACCAAAATAGAAAAGGACAAAAAGCAAACCCCTTAGAAGACAGAGTAGACACACGCATACGAAACACACGCACGCACGCGCACACACACACACACACACACACACACACACACACACACACACGCACACACACACACACACACACAGACACACACACACCAAAATAGAACCGCAAACCCCTTAGAAGACAGAGTTCACGAAACGAACGCATGGTAAAGTGCTTCTTTTGTTGTTGTTTGTTTAGAGTTGGGTTGTTTTTTTGGTGGGGGGAGGAGGGGTTGGGTTGTGGTGTTTTTGTTTGTTTTTCGGTTGTTGTTGTTGTTTGTTTTTTTTGTTTTTTTTTGGGGGGGAGTGGATCAGGCATGAGAGCTAACACAAAAACAAAAGTAATTTCAATGGGGACCATGAAATATCCTATGATGTGTGTATTCCGCCGTTTAATGCTCAGACACGCGCGAACATGAGGAAGCAAACTGGACCCCGACTCGACACGAGTGCCTGCCCTGTATCGGCTACTTCTACTGTCCAATATTGCAACAGTTCAGAGGTTTTTAAGCAAATACATTTTTCAGGAGAAAAAAAACCCCACTGTTCTATTTTTCTCAGAAACTGTTCGCCACATTTTGTGTTCTTTTATGTTGCTTTTCCCCCCAACATTTAATAATTTGAAATTTTATAAAACATCTATTAAGTGTATGCAACGGATAGAGATACCAGATTTAAAAAACTGCAATAAAAAAAAAGAAGAAAAGAAAAGAAAAGAAAGAAAAAAGGAAAAAAAGAAGAAGAAAAATGTTGGGCTTAGTGGTTTTATGAACAGCTGACTGAGGTTACGTTTCACGATTGATACATCACTGTGCTTGTGCACAAGTTAAGCGCCAGGCCGGACAGACGAAGAAACCAATTGATGCTGTACCGTTCGTTTTAGTTTTAGGAAGAGTTATACGGCACTTTCAACGCAATAAGGTTGTATAAGTGCCGAAGATTAGAGGTGTTACAAGAGAGTAACAAACATAAAAAAGAAGGAGGAGAGATCAGGACGACAGGTGTTAGATAGGAAAGAAGGAGCAAACTACACCTCAGAGCGCTCGTCAACCGCCCACTGTACTGTTCGGGGATGTTATCAAAATTGACTTTTACCAAGTGATCTTTAGCACTTCGTTCGAAACTTACTTGACGAGTCAGCTCAACAAAAACAGCATTTTGAGATGGCATATAAGAATATAAAACTATAATGTTTCGCGCCCTCATTGACACATTTTAGAGCATTTTAATGGAAGCGGGATGTTTCGACCCTACCTGTAGGGCCCAACATAGACTGAGAGAGATACAACGAACCAGCAGACAGGAAGAGATGCGATTTTTTTAAAAGCACAAAATAAAATCCCCACAAGGGGATCAAACTAACTTTTTGTGTGTGCGAAGGCATTGTGCCTAACCGCTACACCTCAGACGAGGACAAAAGGGGAACAATGGGAAAAAGCAGAAGGGGCAGACCCAACGAAAGCCACAAACCAATCCCTCGTTTATAATGGTATATTCAAGGGCTGCCATGATAATCATGAGTAAATTACCAGAGAAATGATATATAGCTGCCAACTTTACAAAAAACCAAAAAAAAACAGACTCTAATACGCCGTGGGTCAAAATGGTGGGCATTGAACATGTACCCCCTTCCAAACCCTTCACACATACATTTAATCTGCATGCAGTAAATTCACATTTTTTCAAGTAGACCTGCAACAATAATACTGCATCAGAATTAACGATGAATAAAAAAAGTCTCTCCAATTGATGTATCGGCTTCTTTTTCATTATTCCTAAATCGGGTCTTGAAGGATAAAATTTTAATCTTCAACATCGGCAAGTCCTTGCGAGGAGCAATCTAAACAACAAAGATAGGCCTATATATTTTTCAGCACACAAAAACATACTAGACTTACATACTCAGAGCCTCAAAAACGTACTTGCAATATATGTCACTGTATCTTTACAAAAGTCATGCATGATCGAGCTCACTGAGTTACAATCAGCTACTTCTACAAAGCTTATAAAACTACTCTTCGAAGATGTCACACATACTAGCGTATATATAGGGCATTACAAAGCTTTTTTAAAGCTTGGTTATAGACTATAGAGAAACAGAAAATGCCAAAAATTATGAATGACAAACAAAAAAGACTTCCGATAAAACAAAGATTTTTTCTTTTTATTTGGCGTAAAGTAACCATAAAATTGAGAGCAGAGGGGGTAAAGAATGGCTTTTCTCAATTAGAAAGAAACATGATTCTAATTTGATTGACATTGTGCATTTAAAGAAAATATAATTTATTTTAAATGTGATGACTAAACATTTGAAGATTTTTTTGTGATTCAAAGATTAGTGGTACTGCAAACCAGTCCGGTAGAGAAAGGCTGTGTTTGACATCAAGTTGTATCCAAGTGAATGAAAAAGTTTATTTATACAAAATAAGCCATCAACAAAAATGGCATATATTATATATATATATTCATATTTGAGTTCTTAAAAACATAAACAAATTTCAAAAATTCCCAGAGCAGACAAGAAATTTAAAGATATATATGTCAGTATAACATTACTGTGATAACAAGTGCAGAAACAATGAAAAAGGGTTGTTCATTCAAATGTACCAAAATGTGAAAGTTGAAACACTGAAAATTTTTTTTAATGTATCACCTTCTATCTATAGAGCAAAACTTACTGAGAGATTTACAAAAATTTGTGTACATATATTTAAGAAAGAGTGTGGTTGGCAATCACACATGCACAGCGCAGCACAGGCCACACACACACAGAGGGAGGGAGAGAGAGACAAGAGAGAGAGAGAGAGAGAGA